CTTCTCTGTATGGACAGGCTGTTTTGAACATTTTTGAGTACCTTAGCTGGCCACTAGCTCTTCCCCTGGTTCTGTCCTTCTGGGCATTTTGGTCAGCAGAGCTGAATGCTCTGATGCTGTTTCACTTAAAACACACGAGCCTGCTTCATCTGCCTCCTTCTGCCAGTGCTTCACTTAGGCTTTGGCACAAGAGTGCCTTGGGATTTATATGGCTTTGAGATGTTCCTGTTAACTCTTATTTCTTCCTGAGTTTATCAAGAGCTTAATATTTATTAGCCTATGGTGAAACATGGCTGTTACAAAAGAGGTGCCAAATTTTAGTGGTTTTTTTAGTAACACCAGTAAGGGAGGAGGGTTCTACATAAATAATTGCATCAAACCCAATGTACTGTTTGTCTGAAGCAAAAATAAAAGATAGGTAATGTTCTTTTCACCTGCCTGTTCTCTCCCTCCCAAATTCCCTGCATTATTGTAGCTTGAATTCTGACATAAGAATTGAGCATAGATCATATAAATTGTTTCACAAAGTTAATTTAACTTGTGTCCTAAGTTGAGTTGTTACCCTATGCTGGTTTGGACAGTAGATGGGGAGTAATTCAAATCTTGAACAATGTGATTGCTCCTGAAATTTCAGAGCTGCCTTGAAGAGGGGATGCCTTTCCAGGCCAGAGAAATGTGCCTCTGCTCAGTCAATGGTACTTTGTGTGCAGCAGGGAGGACTGAGGTACTTCTCAGCTTTTCATGAGCCCTTCTATCTAGCATGGTGTATTCCATCTAACCTTCCTGTGGAGCTTACCTTGAAGCTGATGTGCTTCCACTGGATGTCACTGTTGCTCTTTGGGAACACATTTAAAGTATTTTACCTGTAGTGAAAACGACATCTCAAAATAGACTTTTAAAGGTATTTCTCTTTTCTTTGGATTAGTAGAATTGGGGTTCAGATTAACTGTATACACCACCTTTGAGGGTTTTCTGCTGCTCTGTTTTAGGGGATTTTTTTCAGCTAAGATAATGGATTTGATTGCACTAGGGAATTTTAACATTGAAGGTCTGTGTTGAATTGAACACGTTAGATGTATGTGTTGTTTATGGGGTGTGCTGTCTTTCTAGATACTTGAAAATTAATTCTTGGCAACATCATACTGTCTTAAAATCACCAAAACACAAAACCCTCAAAAGAGTACATACACCGTGTTAATTGAAAAGGACTTAAAGGTAGAGCTGAACCTACCCCTTTCACACCACTCGATTCTTCCCATCCAGTGGAGAGAGGTGAGGAAGAGGGAGAAGAAATATTTCCTCTGGACTGAATTATAAGAATAATTCATTTTATTAGTAGGTGTAAAACTGAGGTGGGCGGTTGTTGTATCAATATGTCTTCTGAGGATCACCATTTAAGAAACAAAATGGCATTTCTTACTTGCCTCATGCAGTTTGCTACAGAAGTACATGTGTTGTTTAGTTCATACCTGCCCCCCAACCCCTGATCAGCACTGTAACTACTGGCCAGGATGCTGTTTAGCCAGAACAATTTTCATAAAAGTCTCAGTAAGAGACCTCTGGAATGAAGGCTGATTAATTTTCCCCTTCCCCCAAGTAGTTGCCTTGTGCTGTCTTTAAGTGGTTGCTATAAATAAATCACTTCTGTTTTCCCTTTGTCACTGAGATGTGTATTGTATTCTGAAATTGCTCATCTCTTCTTCCTTTAATGTTCAGCTGCTCCTTGCTCTACTCCCAGTGTTTTAATACACAGATGTTGTAATAAGATATTTAATGACAGAGACATTTGTTTGGTTATGCCAAATAAATTGTACACTTGAACTCTGACTGAAACCTCTGCAGCAGTGCCATTGTTTCTGGTGCCTGTCCCCAGAATTCAGCTGGCACTTTACCCACAGGTGGGTCAGATGAGTGCACAGGTGTCCCTGTAATTGTGATGGTAATTGGTACTGAGACTGACACAATTTTGTAGCTTTTTGCAATTTTCTTTCTAAATCTGTTAGAATTTAAATTCCTGATGGCTGGCTCAGATGATATAAATTGTCATTAGAAGGGCTCCTAGAGTCTCTCTAAGGTTGTATGTTTCTAAGGGTTTTCTTATTCATTCTTGGGAACAGCAGCTGATTTAGTCTGCTTTTACAAAATTTGAAAATGTTTTAGTCTGGAGGCAATCTGGGTCTTCCTCAGCTAGGTGCACACTTCCTAAAACTGAATGGTCAAAGACCTTGGTCAGCTGGAAGCCTCCTTTTTGGAAGCCACTGCTGTGACCCAGTGGTTATTTGCTGGCTGTCTGTGTCCCTGGTTTAGACACAGGCACTAACTCAGAACCTCATTGCTGAAGGCTGTAGCTATGGGATTTTTCAGGGATGGGCAGTAAGGAGCCTTTCAAGCAGCTGTGGTGTTTGAAGTATTCCATGTTGTCATGTTTCTGTTCTTAATGTAGGTATTCTTGTGGTTTTGGGGCTGTTGCCTTCAGGAGCCCTCATGGCCATTCTGGAGGTGGCTTTCGTGGGAATGGTACGTAGCTTGTGAGGTGAGCTGCAGAATTTGGCATCTGACAGCTCAGGCTTCAACTTGACATGATGAGGGACCATCTGACCCCTAAAGCATCAGTGTGGGAGCATCTCTGCAGTATTGCCTTTGCCAGACTCTTACACTTTGTGAACTGTAACAAAGAGAATATAGACTCAGAGTTCAACCCCGAAGCTTTTTATGTAAAGCTGTCTGACATATGCTATAAAGATAGATGGAGAAAATCTGTTGGTACAGTCATTTTTCTGCTCTGTGAGTCAGCTTGTTCTGATGGGTTTTGAAGAGGATAGCTCATCATCATTTGGGGTTTTTAAGTGCAGGTTGTATGCAGCGTTAGCTCACTAAAATTTCTGCTGTGCCATGATTGACTGGCCTGAAGTTACATCATCAGCATAAGCTAGTCAGCCTTAACATAGAAAGAAAATGTTTTTTTTATCCTAGTTACCTATTGAAAATCAGTGGTTTGTGGTTTTTGTTTGTTTTCACTTTTAAATTTAGGCAGCAAATAGCAGGTTTTTAAAACTCGATTGATCTCATCTCTGCAAGAACATATTTTAGTTGATTAAATCAATGCATCAGTGAGCAACGTGTGGCTCTTTAGCTTCCTGCAGCACAGGAGTAGCTGGAGTGTGGCTGCCATGCTGTGTGACTGGAGTGTGGGCTGTGCTGGCCAGGGGCCGGTAGACAATCCAAATTATTCAAGCAGGTGGCAGGAAGGAAATTAGCAGAGGCCGGTGTGGCTGGTACCACCTGATACCGGCTGCACCCCCGGCCTGTGGGGGAGCACAGTGATCCCTGTGGAGCAGCTGTCATCTAAACCTTCCCCTTCTTTCCTGCTCCTTATGCAAAACTGGCCATGTGAGGCTTACTGCAGGAGGATGGTTTGGTGGGCAGCGTCTAGAAGAATGGTCAGCTCCTAGCAGATGGTGGCCAGCAACAAGGCATTCTCCTGTCAAAGCTGCTACTGCTGCAGCCTTTTACATCTCTTGCTCACCCCATCCAGTCTCCACCTTCCCTAGGTACTCACATTTCTGCTCCTTCTACTACTTATTGCATGTTTTGCCTGTGTGTTGAGCTGGATCTCAGCCTTGGGAGCCTTTGTGACCTCAGTCAGTGGCTCCCAGCAGCACAAGAGTTTTAATGTATATTTTTGAAAGACATACAATTTTTTGTATGTATGTATATATCTCCATGATATACTGAACACTTTGGTGGTTAAAATTATGTGACCTGCTCTTGTTGCAGTTTATTTGCACATCTGTACACATCTGGCATCAAATACAGAAAGGAGCAGGTATATCAGTACTGTGCTGGTGAGAAATGCTTTCCTGCTGTTGCATAGAAGAGAAGAGATAGAGGCAAATCTTTGTTTCTACTTAGAAAAAGTACATGTGGAAGAACTTTTGGAGACTGTTTTTCAATCTGTCAGAATTCCTTCTTTGTTGATTTGTAAACTTTGTGTGAGTAATAAGTGCATGGGATGGAGCTGCACCAGTCATTGGGCTATGGAGAAGTGTTTCAAGAGCTGTGATCTTGGCTTTCAATTCAAATTTTGTGCATTAATGTAAATTGAGAAACTGAAGTCTGCAGTTGCTTAACCAGTTGGCTACTGCCTTTAGTTAAACTTCTTTGTACTGCTTCTGCTGGCAATAATGCAGATAAACAATGCAAATAGTGTTTGTTCTACAAGAAAGATACCATTTTGAAAGAAAAGGAAAGAAGAATAGGTTCTTTAGTAGAGATCTATTTGTGTTTATCTAACTTAATTTATTCTGAATGAAATATTCAAGCTTGCATAACTAAAACAGTTGAAACTTCAAAGTAAACTTGTTCTTAATCTCGTTGAGGAGGAAAACCAGTTCAAGATGTAAACAAAATTAAAATTACTTAATCAAAACAGTTCCAATGCATATTGGGACATCTTGCTTCTGCTTAACTTAACTATGGTACAATGTCTTTGCCTTCTTTCAACTACCAAACATGGAAGAGGTTTTAACTTTACTGCTGGAGTGAAATAATCAGACTCCTCTGGGGTAGCTTACTTAATTCCTGTCATTGGGATGTAGTGTTTCCCCAAACTGCTCCAGTAAGTCTTCACTGACCTGTAGTCTGTACCTGTGTGCCACAAGAGCACACCAAAGTTCTTTGCACATAGAAAACTTTAACCTTGCAGGATTGCTTCAAGATTTTTATCTAAGGCTTGTCCTTCCTGGAGGTGGTTTAAAACCAAACAAAAGCACGCACAAAAACCCCCCAGAAAATAACAAAACCACCTTCCACCTGGAGCAGGCAGATGAGTCAGCAGAAGTTTTTCCTTTTTCCAGCTGTGGCTTTCCTCTTTTGCCTGTTTTTAATAGCATAGACTGTCCCAGCATAAGCTGTCCTTTACTGTTTGCCCTCCATGGAACAGAAATCCCTGTGCAGTTATTTGCATTGCAATAGCAGATTATGTCTGTTTATTTTTCTAGCAGTCAGAAATGGATTGTGGCATTCATCATAAGAAAACAAAAACTCAGGATTCTGTTAGGACTCATGAACAGCAAGAGGAGGAGACCAGTCTTGCAAATACCCTGGAGCATATTGTGGGGCAGCTGGATGTTCTGACTCAGGTATGATTTACTTTTTAGTTTATTATTGACAAGTGTACCTGTGACTGGAAGAAATGGGAATGTTTTGCAATAGTTTCATAGAATAATAATATGGCTAGTTCAAAACCTCTGCTTTTTAGTAGTATTTTGATAAGTCTTTCATCATCTGCTTCTCAGCTTCTCTCTTTCAGTTCCCTCATACTGTCTTCCACCTTAGGCATTGCTCTTCCCTAGTTTCTTTGTGCTGCAGCTTGGTAGATGCTGCTGGAGCCAGCTCTGATAGACTGTGCTGTTAGCCAGGGTTTATCTAAGGTGATGCCTAAAGGAGTGGTTGGCAGAACAACTCTGTTTTGGTGAATAATCTGTGTCTGTCTTCCCTGCTCCGTTATACCACAGCCTATAGGTGAACTCTGTTCAGATCCTGCTCCTTTCCCCCACCCGGTGTTCACCTACACAGTCCAATCTCTGCAGAATCCTCCTCCCATCAGCAAGTCTGGGCCCTTCTGTGCCTCGTTGCTGGAACATGTTTTTCACCCACAGCTACAAACAGATAATCCCTTGCTAAAACATTAACAAACAGTTCTTTCTTGGAGTCAATAAACAATGTTTGAACAGAACCAGCCATGAATGGTGATCATCACAGAATGTGTTTACTTAATAAGAACATGGGGATAGAAGTGTTTTTTGATTACCTAAATAACTGCTCCTTGCTCATTGTGGAGAAATACTGTTTCTGGTTGGCTGGACATGAATTTCATTGTGGTTTTTTGAGATATGTGAGAAGCAGGGAGAAAATATGGAATGGCAAACATTGGAGGTCTCCTGTAGCTGAGACTATGGTGGTAGGATGGAAAAATCTGTTGGGAGGGTTTTTCTGTGAGTTTAATTACTGTTTCTGAGGAAGAGCAAGTAGGTCTTAAACACTTGATGTTGAACTTATTGATTAGTAGTCTGAGTTAGCTCTCTGCTCTTGAGAGAGTTAGCTTGTCAAAGTACTTGTCAAAGAATATAAGATGATGGGTTGGAGGGCCCATCAGAAGATTGAAGGCTGTTTTAGGGATTAAAAAACATGCCACAACTACAAGCAGACTAAAATAGTGTAGGATGAAACACAAAAGGTATTTAAGTTCACTTGGCAGAAATGCAAAAAAGCACTTTTGCTGTGATCTTTAAAACACTGAACAGTGGAGGAGGGGAGGGAAATCTTGTGTGGCACTGGGCCCTCATACTTGTGAGTAAAAAGCAGCCCAGTGTATACACAAAATATTCTAATAATGTTTTTAGGTCTCCCTAGTAAGCTTGGAATGTGATTGTTATCTTTCATTACATTAATCACATCCACATTTCTGATGATGGATGTGTAATGGCTCCTTTTCAACTTCATAGGTGTTTAGAGGAGGCAAATATTGCAGTAAACAGTACATGTGGAATTTAACCTAAATATAAGCAATGCAAATATCTCTGTCGAAGATATTGTGTAAGTGTAGAAAATTCTAAATGTTGTTTTAAACCGAGCAGAAAGAGAAATTGAGTTCAGTGGGGGAGGAATAAATTAGTAAGTTATAGGATAAAATTGGAAATAGCCCTGAAATAGTAAAAAACCAAAAAGCTGCTTTAAGTAACTGTGTTCTTCAACCTTTTACCTTTTTTGTAGCATTTTTACCATCTTTGAAGTACTTAATTTCCCATTGGTTCTAATCTGTGTATGTTGTATTAACACCATTTTAATGCATTTGTACAGGTAGATGTTCCTGACATGCTGCTTTCGTGCCAAGGTTTTGATATGTAGCAGTGACACAAACTGACACCAAACAAACTTTAGCAAATGAGCCTGGAAGAATTCCTCATTCCTGGACTAAGGCAGAAAGCACCTCAGAGAGGAGGGATGTGGGCAGGTAGCAGGGCACATGTGGAGGATGTTGACTTGCATGTCTGAACTTTGACTTTTCCAGCTTGGGCTGGTAGGAGAGGGGAATACAGCTCCTGCCACTGCTAGCCCTCTTCGGTGCAACTGGATGTGCTGTGGTAGGAGCTGTGGTGATCCAAGTGAACTGGAAGCAGTGCATGGTGGTGTGGGGCTGCTGTTTCTTCCAAGGCATTTCTGCCAAAGCACAAATGGGTGCTGCTCCCTGCAGGCAGCAGATTCAAACCAATGTGTGTGTGTCAGCTTGGGGCCTGCTGACTTCTTTGTGAAAGGAGGACACCACTGCTTCTTCAAAACAACAGAAAGATTTCATAAACAACACTTAAAAAGGTGTCACTATTTTCTCTTCTTGAAGGGCTGAAGCTGTGCTCTGTTAAAATCATAATTCGTGAGTATTGCATGTTTCAAGAGAACTCTTAAGGGCATAAGCAGGGGCATCCACTTGCAGGGAAAGAGCATGTGACATTTCCAGAAACCCTCTATTGATGTAGCCATCCATGGGCTTCTCAGGAATTTAATCTGTTAGCTTGGATTATTTTCTGATGGGGTATCCTGAGTTCCTGTGTTCATTGTTCTTTTTGTAGGTGAAAGGCTGTGTTGCCATCATGTAAAGTACCGGTGGGAGGTTAAAGTTGTGATAAACTACTTTGGGAAATTATGCAGATCTAAGCCAAGTTTATTTTCCTAATATTTTTTTCTGTAGCTGTCATTTCAAGGTTTAAACCTGGTATCATGTAGAAGTGGGAAAGAGAGAAAATGCTGCCAATTTCTGCTGAAAGAGGTGATAGTAAGACATCAGCTGTGGGCTGTCATCTCTTGCCAGCACACAGCTTTGTTCTGAGCTGCACACATGAAGCTGCATCACCAATTACTAGTACCTTTCCTCTGCTGACAGATGAAATAAGGTGTCATGTGCTTGGATTGAGTGAGATTGTTTTTGTTCTAATTCAGAGGTCTCTTCCAGCCAGTCAGCAATCACTGAGGCTGTGAAGGTGTTGTGCCCTGAACAGGAGGATACACTGAAGCAGACTTGCTCCTTCAGCTGGGCACTTCAGTTCTTATGAGAGAGATATCAGTGGCTGTTGTGTATCACAACTAGCAGTAACCATAAGAGTGAATAGAAGCTTTGCTAAGCTTGATTCTTATGTCATTGATATGATTCAATTCTTTAAAGTTTATGATTCAACTAGTCTTTGATTCAATGAAATCTTTTTTCCTTCTCCTCCCCAAAGCTCTGTCAGGATATCTTTAATTTTACTTGTAAGAAACTGGTCTAATGTGACCTGACAGGGTCTTCATATTTTTTCCTGAAAGCGGTTTATATTTAGCCTTACATGGCTCTTTTTTGGAAGAGTGGCATATACTTAATTCTGCTACCTTGAAGAGTGAAGTTGAGACCTGAACATAAGCCAGTTGTTCCCAGTAGTTTTGGATTACTTAAATGCCCTGGTTCCCCTCTGTAGAAAAGCAAAGGAATTAGGAAGATGAGAGTAAAAAATGTATGATGCCGATGCTTTGCCCCTCCCTTTCCCTTATTCTCTTGTCAGTGTCTCAGTATTTAAAAATCCTCTACTGCCATTTCAGAGATGTGAAAAAGATGAAAATGCAAACTGTTTATCAATTTATTCATTTTTATTGAAGACTGGATCTCAGTAACTCAGTGCCTATATGAAGAGTTGGGGTGAATATTTAAGGGGAAAACAAGGTGATTTTCTCTCTTGGATGACCTGGTAGAGAAAGGTGTATTTTGCTGAAACAAAAATCTAGCAGATATCAAAGATTTGCTTGGTTTTGGTGCATTTCCTGCATTTACAGCTGAGCTGCCCTGCTGAAAAGATCGTCTGTGAGTTACTGTCTTGGCTATATTTGCAGTGATCATCTTCAAACAGTTTAATGTTCTCTTGTCCTCACTCCAAACACCTCCAGCTGCTGTGTTCACTCTGTTCATCTGTGGGCAGCAGGCACTGAGGCAAAAGCTGCTGGTTTTATGTGGGAAGGAAGATGTCTTCTCCAAACGAAGAGTTCAGAACCAGGTTACCATAAAAATTCATAAATAGCTGCGATAATCCACCCACAGGAAACGGCTTTATATGCTTCCCCAAACTAATCTTGCATTGAAGCTGGGAGAAAACAACACAGTGAAATGGAGAAGGCTTGATAAATCTGTAAAATAATCCAAAGACTGAATTGAAGGACAATCTAGCTCATGTGAGATTAAAGGATTATTTCACTCCAGAAAAGATTGCAGGGCGAAGAAAGAATTTTTCTAATTTTTTTTTTAGCATAAAAAAAGACTTGGACACAAGTGAGTTGCTTTTTAATTAAAGCTGAAAATGTTTGTGTGTCCAGTGCTAGTAATGAAAGCGAGTAAAATCAAATTTTTACTCCCTTTTGAGATGCGGTCTCAAGCCTGTGTTGGTGAGGGATGAATGTGGTCTCTCTTTTGAGAGGCACTGAAAGTAAATTAAGCAACTGGTTTAGTAAAATATATGCTTTATGACTTCGAGTAGAAGAAATAACTTCAAGAAGAAATAATTGGCAGTGGTGGGGGGGGGTCATGTCCCAAGTGCTTCTACCTTTGCTGTGCACAAATATCTTGGCTCCTGTGTTGCTCTCAAGACCTGAACACTGATGGACCCAATATAAAGGAGAAAAATGGCAAATAATTTTTATTCCAAGAGAAATATTTTGAAATCTGAACCACTAATAAAAAAGTTCTCATCTGAAAATCTGTGGAGTGTCAGATGAGCTTGGTTTTTAATTTAATCTGAATTTAAAAGACGTAGAGGCTATTTCTTGTGAATCAGACCCATCTCTTAGAGATTCAGTAGCTTTGATCTCTCACTCAAAACAAATAAAGTACCCTGATTATTGCCAGTCCTCTGTGTCATTGAGCGGAGCAACGTTTTTTAACCTCCCATATTTACTTCCAAAATGTGCTTGTTATAAAATCTTGATGCAAATACATTTGTCTCCTTTCTAAGATTGTTTAAATTAAATGCACTCTGAGGGATATTGCTGTGTTAGCTGGACACTCTGAAGTCTGGCTCTTCAGAAGTGCTGATCCTCTCCCTGGATGTTCACAGGACCTTCATCT